AGTGAACAGAGTTGCTGTGAGGACTAAATGCCTATGCGTGCATAGGAGGCACCCTGGTGGCACAATGTGTTAAGCATTACACTGCTAAAGTTGGCATTCACCTGCTTCCTGGAGGGAAAGATGAAGCTGTGTGCGCTCTTACAGATTTATGGTCTCAGATGTTTGCAGATGCAGTTAGGTTAAAATGTAGCACCCTATCATTTGATCTTCCTTTATGATCCATTTAAACTTGTTCTAGTTTTTAATATTTTCTGCTTTCTTTTCAATTGAGGTTTTAATTTGTTTTGCTTTGTTATTCTTGTTAGCTTCTGTTTGTTTGTTTTTAAGTTTTTGTCTGTATATGGAATCCAAGATGGGAATCTATAGAGACAGTAGCTAGATTAATGTTTCTTTAGGGGTGTGGCCCAGGTGGGGAGGTTAGGGGGAATGGGGAACTAATAATGATGAGTATAAGAATTAAGAAAATTCTTTTAAAAAAGACAGAAACAATTAGTCAATCCCATAACGATAAACATCCTTACATCATTATAAAGAATAAACAGTTTACACCCCACAGGAAAAGCCTTTGAAGACGATGACAAGGCTATGGGGAAGGGGGAAGGAGAGGAACAGAGGAGAACGAGAGAGGGTAGGTAGGCAAAGATAAAAAGAAGGAGGGAGAACCACATACATGAGGGCTTACTAGGATACTGACACTGTTTTGATGTGATGGGCAATACAACTACATATAGTAGTATTTTTTTCTTTGTATGTGTTATATTCCACAAATAAAAAGGGAAATAATAATGATGAATAAAATTTAAATGAACAAAAAGAAGACTCACAGCCTTAAGAACCCTCCGGATTCCTTACCCATTAGACCCAAACACTGGTCTGAGTGGTTGTAAAAGGAAGAAAAGTAATATTGAAACTGACAAATACTTTTGTGACACGCAAGCTAGTTTATAAAATTTTTTAATTTTTTACTTTTAACTCCTTCAACTATTGTATTTTATCCCATCTCTCTCGGACCTACCAATAGTGTTAGAGGACTCTAATTATGTATATGTTAGGATGCTTGAAGTACTTCCACAGCTCAGCGATCATCTGTATTTTCCACCTACCATTACTCCAGTTTTTCTTATCTTTAGATTTCATGCTGAATTGGTTTTTACTGCAATGCCTTCAATTGCACTAAACTTTACTTCCTCACCACCATCACCATGTCCTGCCTGCTATCAAGTGGGTTCCAACTCATAGTGACTTTAGAGGACAGCGTAGAACTGCCCCATAGAGTTTTTAAGACTGTCTATCTTTATGGGAGCAGATCGCCTCATTGTTCTCCCAAAGTGTCTGGTGGGTTTGAGGTATTGAACTTGATATTAGCAGCTCAACTATAATGTGATGAATTACCTATCTGGCTCTTCTAGCTATAGACTTTGTTACTTCCAGCAAACAACCTTCTTTTTCTTTATGGGCCTGAGTAAGAAAAGTAGGAGAAGATACTGCTTGGATTAAGATTCAGCTATGATTGTTCACAGCATTCATTGTGAGTGCCATCCTACTGAGTATAAAACGAGCCATCCCAGAAGCAGTAAATGGGGAATTACCAATACCAGCAAAAGAGAAGAGCCAGGAAGGGAGTACATCCATTGGACCCCAAGAACTGTGTGCTTTGAACTTTCTTGATCCAGGAGACAGCTGTGAAAACAGAAGAATGGTGAAGGATCAGCAGCAGTGGCAAAACTGGAAGGTAGAGCACGAGACATAGTGGTAGACTTCCCAGCCCACAGAGCAAGTAAACTCAATGCTCTGGGGCAAGAGACTTCCTTGTGGAGTGGGGTGTCTCTGGGCAATTACTGGGAGAGGCTGGGTTTTGCTGACTCATGGAGTTTGTGACTTCGGGTTTAACCTTAAAGCAAAGTAGAATGCCTTTTGGGCATTCATCAGTAATCCTAAAAGAGCTTTTGAACATTGCCAAAATAAGGCAGGTCAATAGGATGAGAGCCAGAAAGAGGCCTGCCTTCAGACACAGCAAAGACTGCCTTGATGGAGCAACTGTATCCTGAACATTTCTCACCTGAATTGTATCCTGTGAACTGTCCCCCGTAACATGGATGTTGTCTGAGTTCTGTGGGGCCAATGCAATGAATTACCGAACTCAGCTGAAAAGTAGAGTGTGCTGTGGAAGACAGAGCAATAAAAATAGAGTGCTGTGGGAGACCGAATGCTTAATGTACTGCACTACCAGAACTCCTTCTATTTTTGCAGTATTTAATTTTATTTTCATCCTATCCAGCGTCTTTTTCATCACAGGCATACTATTTTCTTAGCTCTAGAATCTGGAGTCTAGATGTTTGATTTGGACCTTCTTAACATTTTCCTTATTTCTCTTTAACAGGTTTATGCTTTCCTCTCCTTTCATGAACATATGCAACATAGTTTAGTAACTGTTCTCATGTCCTGGCTGACCCATTCTATTATCTGTATCATTTCTTGTTGGGTTTGATTTTCCATATCATTTTGAGTCCTAATTTCCTGTGTTTCTTTGCACACTTAGTAATTTTTTAGTTAATATAAGATAATGTGAATTTTACCTTGTTGGGTTTTGGGTTTTTTAAATTATTATTCCTATGAATATTCTTGAGCGTGTTCTGAAATGCAGTTATTTGGAAACAGTTTGAACCTTTCACATCTTGCTTTGATTTTTTTCCTCAGGAAAAATAGTTTCATTTTATTACAAGATTTCTAAACAGGTGGTAATAAACATTTCCTGGGGAAATTGCTTTTACGTTTTGTTAGGAGGGAGTAGAGTATGTGCAATCTGGTTCTAAATTTGTCCCATTACTGAGGCAAAACATGATCACCCATGATTTATGAGGCTTTTCCAGTCCATTTGGTAGGAGCAATGAGCTCCAGGCACTATTCTTTTAATCTTTTAAGGTAGTCCCACTGTTGAACAGCATCTCTATCCCAGTACACTTTTCTGTGAAGTGTTACCTCTTGTGGTACTTGGAAACCACCAAGATGAGGTTTCCTACTCCTGTAAAGATTTATAGTCTTGAAAACCCACGGGACAGTTCTGTTCTATCCAATAGAGTCACCATGAGTCAGAATCAGCCTGATGGCAGTGAGGTATTCGTGTGTATGATATTGGTGTGTATTTTTTTAAGTCACCCAAATTTTGAAACTAAACAAGAAAACAATAGAATAAATCAATGAAAATTTTTAAAAATAAATCAATGAAATAAAAGTTAGTTCTTTGAAAATATCAGCCCAATTGATAGCTGTTTACTTAGATTGACCAAGAAGAAAAGATAGAAGACACAGTGATCGAAATCTAGAAGGAAAAGGAGGACATCCCACTATAGCTACAAAAATGTAAAGGGTTGCAAGTGAATATTATGAACAACTTTGTGTCAAAAAAATAAACAAATTAGGTGTCTTAGACACAAATTACCTTAACTGGCTTAAGAAAAAAGAAAAGGACCACATTTATATCTTCTTTATGATCTCATTGATTTGACTGTCTAGACTAGGCAAGTCTATAGATACAGAAAGTAGATGAGAGGTTGCCAGTGACTGGAAAAAGAGGATAGAAGGAGGGTACAGAACTTTAAGGGGGCTGAGGAAGCTGTTCTAAAATTAATTTTGGTGGTAATTGAAAAACTCTGTGGCTATGCTGAAGAACTTTCACTTGTACACGTTAGTGGGTGAATTGTGTGGTATAGATATTATGTATCAATAAAGCTGTTGCCCCAAAAACCCGACATACAACAAGTAAGGAGATTGAATTAGTTATTGAAAGATCGCTCGCATGTCCGGACACACCCAGGACCAAATGACTTCATTGGTGAGTTCTGTCAAACATTTAAAGGTGAAAGATCATTCTTTCACAAACTCTTTCTACAAACAGAAGAATAAGGGAAGCTTTTTTGCCCCTTTTGCTCTGATACCAGTGTCGGACAAAATAACCACAAGAAAAGATAACAGAGTAATATCCCATGAATATATATCTAAAAATTCTTAAAAAGAAATTAACAGACCAAATCCAGCAACACATGAAAAGAACTATCCATCATGATCAAATGGTATTTATCCCGGGAATGCAAGTCAGGATTAACAACCAAAAATTAATTAATATAATACACTTTATTAATAGAATAAGAATTTTTTTTAAAAACCACATGATCATCTCAACCATTGCTGAAAATACACTTGACAAATCTAACACCAATCTATGAAAAAAACAAGAGCAACCATAAAGCTCAACAAACTAGGGCAGACGGGAATTTACTTCATGCTGATAAAGAGCATCTATGAAAAGCCCACAGTTAGCTTCACACTTAAAGACTGAATACTTTGTCCCTAAGATCAGGAACGTGACAATAATAATCACTCTCACCTCTTCTAGTTGCCATTATACTGTGGATGCAAGTGATAACGAAAGAAAGACACCCAGCAGGTTTCTTTGGGGTTTTAATTTCTGTTCCCCTTGGCATTTCTAGTTTACTAGTTTGCCTGGCACCTATTCCAGGATATATGAGACAAAAATAAAATGGGAAACTCACTGACCTGTCAGTTTTTGGGCTTCTATGTCCCTAATCAATTTTCTTTCTTTTCCTTTCCTTTTTAAACTGTTTGTATAGTTGTATGTATGTATATGATACTTATGTATATGAGATATTAAGTTTAAAAGTGTTGCTATAAAATCATAGAAACTTCTATAAAATGAAAATATACAAATTTGAAGCTATTGTTTTTTATTTTTTGAAAGTAGATCTTTTAAATTTTATTATTTGGAAAAGATTGTCCAATCTTTTGATGGCCTAAACCTTACTATTTGTTTTTATAAATAAAGTTTTATTAGACCACAAGTATTCATTCTTCTATATATCGTTTATGACTGTTTTTGTCCTATAATTGCAGAGTTGATTAGTTTAGGCAGAGACCTTACAACCTATGAAGCCTAAAACTTATTACTAATTGAATCTTTATGGAAAAATTTGCCAATCCCTGCATTGGGGCCCTAATTCTGACTCTGTCGTCATTCTGCTCTATGTACATTGGTGGTATTCTGTAACAGCAGCTGCAGTAATCATAATCAAGATTGTTATTGTAAGGTGACATCAAGTCAGTTCCAGTTCATAGCCTATGTACAACAGAACAAAGCACTTCCAGGTCAACATACTCATACGCACGCTTGTTCCTAGATCCAAGCCTATTACTGTCCCAGTCACCGAGTGAATCCAGTTCGTCTGTCCAGGCCCCTCCTCTTTTGTGCCGCCCCTCCGCTTCACCAAGCATGATGTCCTTCTCCAGGGACTGGTCCCTTGTGCAGAAATACTGGTATCGTCTCCTTAGCTGTATAAAGGAAATACAAATGGAGCTTTGCCATGCCTCCCAAAACAATATGGAATGTTGTTGGTAGTTTTGAGACCACCTATGGCGGTCTTGGCTGTCTCGGATATCACTTACAATTGAATGTGTTACAAAATATTGGAGGTTAAGGGTTAATTTTCGAGTTTTTAAATATTCAGAAAACGTAATTTCATAAGCTTTATATTCATCAGGATGTTCCTAATACTCCATACAAAATATAAGACATTTTATTAGCATTTGCTTTTCTACCATAGTAAGTTGTTTACTATTAAAGACATCTGCTCTGGCACAAGGAACCTGCTCCACTGTTTCTTCTGGAAATGCGGGAATCTCGGTTGATGTTTTTGAAGACTGTAGAGTGTTTAATATTTGATTTGATGAAAAGATCAAGGAACAAACCTTGAGAATACAGCGGCTTTCATATCAAATCAGTATTAAATCTCCTGCCTTCTTTAACAATTTGCAAGGAAACAATCATATTTTCCCTGATTGTTCTGTAGTGTTTTCTGCTGTAGGCACATTTTCACTTGTTGCCTTTCCTGAAGTTTCCTGTACAGTGGTTTTCTTTCTCCTCTACGGCTTCAACCTCATT